CTACAAAGATTTTTTTTTTTCCCCTAATCTAATGGACTGTTTTAAATTTCAAAGCTAAAACTTGTTTTGGTCTGGAGAAATGAAATTTAATACATCAAAGTGCTGAAGTATGACATCAAAACTTTTTAGTCCTTTCAAGAAATTTTGACTTTACTGCTAATGATCTTCTCCTCAAATTCCATCTAAATGTGGGAGTTTCTTAATTAAATAAATAAATTTACACCTATGTCATTGAATATACATAGAGCTTTGAAAAGCATACTCATAGATCTGCTTTTCCATTCTATAAAAATATTCTCTGACACTAATCCAAATTTTATTTGATAATATTTTTCTGGTGTTGTCAAGGATTACATTGATTACATATCAGTGACACTAATTTATCAAATTAGTGCAAATTTGATATTAGTGCACTATTTTATCAAATGTGATAAAAATTATTTGAATAAGCTTGAATGAGATCCACTAGATATTACCAACATTCATCTGATGTTTCCACTTTAAGGATTTTTGCATACTTGTAGAACCTGTAGGTAAGAAAATGCATCAACCCTAAAATAAAACTTAGTATTCATTTATTAATATTAGTGGCCTGATATTCAATTTTTTGCATTAGGAGGACTCAAGAGCTTACATTTAGAGCCTGTACCATGTCCTTCATACTGAATAGTTTTCAAAAGGCTAAATCTAAAAATTGAATAAAAGGTCATACCCTAGAAGATTCAAGTTTGGTATGTTTATAAAGCTTTTCAGTGAGAGAGTAGTATGGCCAGAGTTTTCAGAGAATCAATTGTGAGGCATGGGATCTTCTGCTTCCCATTTCAGTCAATAAATGTTTAAAGGATTTACTGAAGAAAGGTGAAAAAAAATGAGTCTGGAGTTTCTATTCCATACTTTTTCTTCAAATTTTAAAATTCAGCTTTTTCCTATAGTATGCCAATAAAATCTACTGTTTCTCAACTGTGTACAGAAGTTAGTTTAAAGAGTGATAAACAAGCACATCACAAAAGCATAATTATGCAATATGTTGAAATAAAATACCTGGGTTAAAGGACAGCAGTAAAGTAGTGACCAAAAGTCAAATGATAAAAGCCTTACTGAAATTTTTTTAAGATTTGTTTTTCTTGTTGTTCCATGGCAATATAACCACCACATACTTCTTTATTTTGAATATCTGTGTAGCAACGTTTTTCTCTTTGTGCATTCTTTCTGTATTGCTTGTTCAGAACACAGGGATATCCCAGTCTTTTTCCTGAAAACACAAGGAAAAACATCAGACAAGGTAACCACCTCCTTCTGAGGGCTTTTCAAGTGAGCTACATGCTACTTGTCTTGTTCCAGCTCGAGTGTGTGTGTCAGCTACAGCTGGTGATGTCAGACATAGACCATTATCTATTATTCCCAAGAGTGCTCTGCTCATATGGGCTACTTTATTTTCAGAAATACCTAAGTAGACTGCAGGTGCAAGGGTTTGGCAATCTATTTTATTTCTTTGGGGTGTCATACAGCACACTGTAGTGTGTGGGTTTAAAGTGTCTGAGGTAGTGGATGGAAATAAGATCATCTCCAGAAACAGCCTGTTTTTTTCCCCCTCAATATGTTATGAACTAACCAAAGGCATAAAGGGGCCGAGTTTGCACACATGGACAGAAAGGTCATACATTTTTATTCTAGCTGTCTTTTTTCCCATTACTCCAGAGTGGGAATGCTGTTTGGATTCTCAAGGTCTTCTCTGTTAATTTATAGTATGAACTGGTATGGTTGCCTCTCCATGAAAAAACAAAAACCATGCCCCAAACAAACAAAAATGCTCTTACACAAATTTTCAAGACTAATGTAAAACCAATGTTAGAAAGCGACACTTTTGGCCAGTTGGCATTTTGAGTGCCTCCTGAACATTGCACTGATGTTTTACAAGCAGCTTTTAAAAAGCTATGTCAGAAGAGAAGCCAACTTGTAGAAAAAAGAAATACATGCAGAATATTTATTTTTGACCTTTTTTACAAAACTTTCAATGAGATGTTAGCTAGCTTGCAATTGTGTGGTAGTTTATGAAATATCCATACAAAATGTCACAGAAGAATTAAACAATATGAGAGGATCTTGTAAACATGCAGCTCATGCACAATCTCTTCAATTCCTCTTTGTTCACCTATAATGTAAGATACAGGTGCAGCCACATCAGCTGTGTTTCTCTTTGGGTCCAAATAAGTTCAACTTTTTTTTGGTTCTGTGCTGTATATAAATTCAATAAAAATTATCACCTCTCTCAAAACCAAAATCTAGTTCTTGTTCATTCCAGTTTTCCAATTGCTCTAATTTTCCAATTAAAATAGTTACTTTTCTCTTTAGTTTTTATAAAAATTAGATGCTTTAAGAGTTGATTAGCATTTCAGTTACAGAGGTTCACTGTTGCTCTACTCTCCAAGGCTCCAGGTAGACCCATCTTTTATCATATTAAGAGAGTAGCATGTTAATGTAAGAGCTGTGCCAAAATAAAAACACAGAGCTAGTACCAGTGAGTTTAAAATTAAAAAAAAAAAAAGAAAATAAAAAAGAAAAGAGAGAAGAGTAAAAATTAGACAGACATGCTTGTTCTTTTAATACTGTGAAGCAAATATACAGAAACCATGTGTTCTAAGGAGTGAATGAACCTTTGCAGATCTAAAGATTAATCTGTTTATCTCATTCAGGTTTTTTTTTTTCCAGGGGTCATATAGCCTTAGTGACTATGTCTATATGAGCAAATAAAGCACAATGAAGGGATAGGCCCGAGCATTGGCCATCATTTGTCCCTGCTCTTGAAGTGCTAGCACACAGACTGGGATGCTATTTTCCATGTCAGGTAACACTCTCAATGTTAGCTCATGACTTGCGTGTGATACTGTCCATCCCTAGTAAGATTGTGTGGATGAGGCCACTCCCTTTTGGGTGGTAAATTTACACCCCAGTTTACATAGGAACATAAAAATTGAGATTCATAACTTAGCATCAGACAGAAGGAAAGAAGGAAGGACTGTAAAATTGCTCTGAGATCTTTGAAGTGTAAGAACAGGGTACATGTTCTGAGGAAAGAATAATGATGACAGATTTTCCATCACTAGTATATATTTTCTTTTTAGTTTCCTACCCATCTTTTAGATGGAATAGATAAATTTCAGAACTACAACATATTTTAAACTAAGATTTACCTGCTGTAATGCAAGTATTACTACAAGGTTAAAAATACTTAGTCATAGACCTTGAAAAATCTTTTCCTCACTATCTAATTTGAGAATGAAATTGAGAAAGAAATATTGAACAAAGGTTATTCAGTGTTATCTACAACCATTGGTACATTCTATACATAATTGTGTCAAGTAAGATCCATTACATGAACTGGAATTTTTCACTTTCCATATTGAACTACTTTAATCTAAATTAATTTTCAAATATTCTACCAGATTTTGTTAATTGGATTGACAAGGTAAATTGGGTACCACCGTTTCTCTTAGGCTTGTTAGCAATGATAATCAATGTAAGAAAATACAGCTTCGGAAAATAGTCTGAAAGGCTTACAGCAATCTTTTGGATTGACTAGGACCTCTTCTATTGAAGCATCATGAGGAGAATCCTATTTTGTGTCACCGGGCAATAAATCTAAATCTGAAAGGACTAAGTAAATACTACTGCTGCTTCTAGATGCATAGTGAATCCTCCACTGAGTAGCAGCATCCAGAACTACACTCTGTAACTGCAGAAAAACCAAGAGTGTGTTTAACAAAATTCTGGCAGGGCTGCAGGGAATCACAGTTTACCCAGGAGACAGACAGCTGGGTTAGTCACCCAGGGGACAGACAGCTAGGTTAGTAAGAGACCCATGGTCTAGCTCCTAGGCTTCCAAAACTAAAATACAATATAATTCTCACTCTGGAATTACTTAATAACATTTTGAGGATGATAGTTATAACAGTGTAGTTTACCTGCTGCAAAAGGCAATAGAAGAGAGTCCTCACTTACAGAGTTTATGTGTTGGTGTGTAAATTCCTATTTTCCTTTATTAACAACCACTGAAGGCTAATTTCTCAGCAGAAATCATAATTTTATCCATTTTTCATGCTGTGCTTTAATCAGGGCTGCATTTGGAGGTTGGGAAACCTCATCAGTGAAAGAGTGGCTGCTTTGATTGTTTTTGATAGAATGCTTTAATTAGGTCACCACAAAAATTGTGTTTTAATAATCTATGTCATTATTGAACAGAGGCGATTTAAATTCTGCTATAAAGAGTTTTCTACAGCATCAGACATCTGCTCTAAAACTTGGCAATATAATCACTGGATTGCATATACAAATTTGACTATCTGTAACTTCCAGAAATTATTTCCATCTGATTAACCCAGGGACCTTATCGTCAAATATTGGTGTATAGATTGACCAAAATCTTAACTAATGTCAGGCATTACAGCCTATAATCACAAGTTAAGTGGAAGATGAAGGAACTTAATGGCAAACAGAAGACAGTATTTCTGGTATTGTCTTAGTGATGATTTAATTCATGCTAAGATGGCAGCAACCAATGGATCTGAAATTTGCAAACTTCTATCCAGGTACATTTCTGATCTGCATTTTATTTTCTTTTAAGCGACTAATCACTGCATGGGGTGTTGTTGTTTTTTTAACTGCCAAGGAAACATAAATAGTAAAATACATGGCATTTTAATGTATCCCTTTGCAATCCAGAATGATAAGACCTTAATGTGTCATCCAAATTTAAAGTGAGATCACTGGGTAATGGGTTACATATGGTGATCCTAAAAGAAAAGGTTACTATGGAGAGTAATTAAAAAGCCATTTTTAAAATTATTTTTCCTGCTTAGATATTAGTTTTAGATGTAAAAAGGGATTTACTTTTCATTACCAGATGTATTGTCACTTTAGATTCTGCAAACTTGTGGTTTGGGAGACTATCATTAAAATACATCTTGACTGCAATATGGAAGCCTCAGCTTTGATAAGACTGTCCCATCCATATCTAAATCTTTTTCCTCTGAATGAACGACCTGTGGAAGAAAAAGGAAGACAACGAGATTAGCTACATATCTTCTGTAGTGCTTTATGAATTAAAGGAAGGCAAGCGATGTGATATGTAGTGCCCAATTTCATCCTTTCATCCTTTTGAAGCACTGAACTGCAGTTCAGGCCAGTTAAGGACTGAATCACCTCTAGAAGAATCCAGTTCTCTTCTCTCTGTAACAGATACCTGTTTTTAACTTAAATGACTACATCAGCATTTAATAGGGGTGAATCTATGACTCATTGCTTCAATTTTTCATCTGCTAGTGACAGCCTGAGATAATGACGTATGATGGTTAATTAATGTGTAGGATGTATTGCAATATACATTAAAAAGTACTCAAAATTATTATTCATGATTATGGTCACTGAGGTAACTGCTGATATCATAACATATAAGAAGAAAACTGCTGATATCATAACATATAAGAAGAAAACAGTGTTTTGTTCTGGAAAAACTCAGTAATGTTTTTACTGCTAACTGGTACTACAGTTATGATCTGGAACTACAAAGATTCTGACACTGGAAATGATCTTTTCAACCCAGGCTACGATAAATCCTCAGTGTCCATAACTTCTTCAACACATTGAGCATGTTTTCGAGGGAAACTGTGTGAAAGCCCCAACTGGTGGGCCAAAAATCTTGTACTCTTAGTTTCTCCTTTAAAAACTTGTTGTCTGGCTGTTCATAATGAAAAACTGGTTGGGGGGATTATGGAGGGGAGCTAAAGTCTGGCACACAGGAAGCTGAACTGAGATTCATGAAGTTGCTCTCTAGCACTCGAAAATGCATGAATGAGTAGACAGCTACATTTCTTTTGAACTGTTGAGACAATGGCAAAGAAATTATATTTTGCCCCAAGTAGGAGCCCATATTTTTCAAATTATTAGGGAGATGATAGTGGAAAAAATCTATTTGATTTACCTTTCCCACATTCAAATAGAAGGTGACAGAAGTCCACTACATGCAGACCAAGACTGAATGGTTCTAGATTTTCAATCAAATATAAGTTTCTCTCACAAAGACACAGAGAAACTAGAAATCACCTGTCCAAGTCATGGGCTGCCAGTTTTCCCAGGAGAATTCTGTGGGAGATAGTGTCAAAGGCTTTGCTGAAGTCTAGGTAGACACCTCCACAGCCTTTTCCTCATCCACCAGGCAGCTAACAAGTGAATCTTAGTGATCTATTCCTTATGCTGCAATTCTAAGTAAAAAAAAGAACAGAATAAAAAGTAGAAGATAGCATAACATTTAAAGTTATCTTTTCTGTGTAAGCCAGGGAGATCAAGATTATTTGGTTTGTCCAACTATAAAAAAGTAATTCACAGATTCACAGAAAAACTGAAAGCAGAAAGCTACTTATATCCTGACTCATTATTAAACAGACTGATATATACTAATACTGAATATACCATAGAAGAAAAAAAACCCAAACCATATATTTTGAAGAAGAGGGTCAAAGAGGAAAAAATTATCAATGTTTAGTGCTCCAGAGTAGAACAAGAAAATGTGGAAACAATATCTCTCAGATTCACACTGGATTTAGAATTTTTTTTTCTGTTGGCCTGGAGCCACTTAATAATATACAGATATAAAACATTGGTGAGTACTGGGTGTCTATGAACCATGTATATATAATATGCTGTATGTGGATTCCAGGACACATCCTCTGTATTTTATGCTGAAAGCCAAGCATGCACCACCTGACTTCCATGCATGAATTTTGCGACAACGAACTGTACTTTTAGGGTCACAATCTGAAGGAAACACTGCACCTCCATGTTTGCAGACACCCTGAGGAAAGATCAATCCATTCAAGACCGTTCTTCTATTCTATTTTTTTCTAAAATACAGTAGCAATGGTAAATAATGATGATAATCGTCATAATAAAAAGGAAAAAAATCTGAAATCATGCACAATACAATTACTCACCACCTGGTGACCGATGCCAGACCTCCCTTCCCAAACCCAGACTAGCCACCCTTCTCGGTAATTCCCCTCAGTTTATATACTGGGCATGAAGTTCTATGGTGTGCAATATCCCTTTGGTCAGTTCAGTTCACCCATTCCAGCTATGCTTGCCCCCAGCTTCTTTTGTGAACCTCCTCACTGGCAGAGCATGAGACAGGGGGAAAAAGTGCTCTTGACTTAGGATAAAGATGACTTAGCCAAAACACCATTCCCATTCCGAATCCAAAGCACAGCACTGCAGCAGCTATGGGGAGAAATTACCCCTACCCTAGGTGAAATCAGGACAAAGCTTGGCTTTAATGATTTGAAAACCCCAACACAGGTTATTCCGTTATTTTTCCATCAAAACTAAATGTAAATCAAGGTTTTAAGACTTATGCGAGTATTAATTTCTTCTTGCACACAGATTTCCCACCCCTAAAATGAGATGGAGCCCAGGGGCCAGGCTGTGAGCAGAAGCTTTGGGTGGGGCTTTTCAAGGCCATTAGTGCTTATTAGCACCTGCAGGTACTCCCAGTCACCTCCTTTTTCATAATAATTATGCCTTCAGCTGCAAAAAGAGCAAGAAAAACACTAACAAGTATATATATTTTATAAAAAATAAAGTATTACAGGAAAATATTGTGCTGGCTTTGTGTCAGGCAGCAGGAATATGGTTAAAATCTGACAGGTAGTGGTTGACCATCTGATTTTTTTTATATGAGTATACTGATTTGGTTAAGAGAGCTTCATCTGCCACACACAGCAGATGAATGAAGACAAAATCTGATCTCTTTGACTAGTATGGAAGCCTTATACTTAATTTTTTCTGTCCTTTTCCTAGAAATGAATATGTGATCATGAGGAATCAGGTGCCTCTTATTTTGCTGTTTTATTCTTAAGGTAATAAAATAACTCAGCATTCTTTTTTCCTCTGAAAGTAAATGTATTGATGAGCCACTTCAAACAATGCTAATCAACAGTCTGAGAAGCCTGCAAGATAGAACATTGACAGGGAAGGTACTATTACTAATTTATTTGTCTCTTTATGGTTCAGTTAGAGGAATATCTTAGGGAGTGCAGCACATGTCAGTGTTGTCAGATGTTACACCGTAGCTGTCATAGTTTTGACTGATGTACAAGCACTACCTGCTCATGTTTGCCCTTCCTTTCTGTGGAGTGCACACAGGTAAGACAGCTTGTTGGTAATTTTTTATTTAATGCTTTCAGTATCTGCAGCTGCTCTTTTGTTGAAAGTTCTGACAATGAAAGATTCCGCTCACCAAGATTCCCAAGATTTCCTTTGCAAGGGTTTCATCATGTAAACAAGGTTTCCTCTGGGATTAGAATATGACTGGCATTTTTTTCTGACGCCTAGTGATCTTGGCTATAACTGTTTATGTTTTCATTTATTAGGAAATATAAAAGAAATGAAATCACAGAAATTTAGCGTGCAAATGTTTTTGCACTGCTCAATAAAAGGTAATTTTATTTTCAAAAGTTTTTCCATGTCCTAAACCTCACCTTACGCAGAGAAGTACATCCTAATTTGAAGACTTCTATGCAAAAAATAACTGCAACTATGTGTCCAGGGTGGTCTGATATTCACAAACTTCAATCCTCTCTCAGACACAATTGCTGAATAAAAAAGGAGGCATTACTGTTCAGAGTGCATAACCAGATGAAGCTTTTAAACATGGCAAACATTCATTTCTTAATATAATAGAGCAACAATGAAGAACAAGAATGCTTGTGAAAGAAGGGTTCAAAATAATCTGAGGCTGGGAAGCCAAATAAGCTTTGTGAATGGCAGTTCAAATTGTGGTATAGGTGTTCCAGGAAACAAAAGGATGTTGCTCCTAGATGCAGAAGTGAAACCTTTTCAAAACATAGAAAGCCATTCTAGACACTAAAGAAATGACAGAAAAATTTCAGCATACTGACTTAAGGCTATTTCTGCAGTACAGTCCAGCCAGTGAATCCTAGGAATTAAAGGAAATATCCATATCATGAAAAATGTTATAAAATATTTTTCTCTAACTATGGAGTTTAATTTGGAACAGAAATTCCCTTTTGCTGTATTTGTTCGTGTCTTTCTCCCTCCCCATCTGTGGGAATCCAGAGCTTCCTTCTGGCTGCCCTGGAAGGCCTGGGACCCTGGCAGGGGGTCAGGAACCCCCCTGTACAGAGCCCCGAGAGACACTGTCTGTGATCTCTGTCCTTGGAAAAGAGTTTTCAATCTTACAGGATGAATTACAAGCTCTGAGTGTTTGAGATAAGTAATAATTAAATGTGGCATGGATGCAAAAGTAAAATTTTAGAATTCTAGATCAGGGGTTCAAAGGGGACAAGATGGAGGAAATTGGGTGTGTCTTGTCCTTTTTCTCCTTCTTCATGCCCTCCATATTTCACTGTAGTGTTGGCATTTTTCTTTTGGTTTAGGTTGGGGACACCCTGTTCAATGATGGTAGATATTGGCACATTATTGTAAATCCAGCACAGGTAGTTTCTGGTATATAATGTTTGTAACATCCCACTGAGGGGCAGAGCCCCACACGCTGCCCTGCAGGACAGACCTGTGGCAGGGCAGCAGAACATGTTAGAGATAAACAGAATAAACAACCTTGAAAACCAGCACAGACGAATTATGACTTTTTCTTTGGCAGCGGGGCTGAAAGACAAAGACTTTTTACAATCTCAGAATCATCAATACCACAGATTCTGACACCCATATTTTCACCTGAGCAACTGGTTCCACTCTTAGGTTAGCAAAGGCCAATGGAGCAGAGAGCAAATGGGCAGCATTTCTCAATGATCACTCATTTACTTATTGAAAAGTTACAAATAGTGGTGCTGTGCAAAATCAGTTTATTTCTTTTCCTCCAAGAGACTTGAAAATTAGTGTGTAACATAACTTTTAGAGATAGTTCTCTGGGGTTTTACATTTTTGTTTAGTTTTGGTTTTTTTTGCTTTTTTTTTTGGTTTTTTTTTTTTTTTGTTTTTTTTTTTTTTTTTTTTTTTTTTTTTTTTTTTTTTTTTTTTTTTTTTTTTTTTTAGCTCTGTAATACCAGTTTTGTTATTCTGAGACTATATTTGTCTCCCCAGGAGCTACTTTTCACTCAAAGGAATGTGGTTTGGCCACATCTCTTCAAGGAATCATAGAATCTCTGTGGTTTCTATGAACTCTAATGTTTTCAGGATATCTGCTGTGGAAATCATGCATCCACAATAACCGAAGCTCTCTGGCAATCCCTGGAGGTAAGCAAGTCTGCATTTTGAAGTGTGAGTAGGAACAGTGATGAAAACATGGGCATTTTTGCAACACATGCATGCAGCTTGATTGAAAAATTTATCCAGCCTCTGAGCATTGCTTCTAATAGCAATGTAGGATGAAAATGTGATTGGAAACATTCATAAATTAATATTAATAAAGATTGAATAATATCTGGAGTACTGGCAAAATATGGAGACACAGAAGAAGAAAAGACCAAATTTTACCCAGAGTTATAGCTCTTGCATTCAGAATGGATTTTTTTATTGCTAGCCCAAAAATCTTAATTTAGTCTTAATTTATAAGCATTTACTTAGCAGTCTGAATTTTATTTCTTCAGGTATGAAAAGGAGAGTAACAGTGTTAAAATATTTGAGGTAGAATTTGTTCTTGGTGTCTTTCATTCCTTTCAGAAGTTTTATTGACTTTTATTTCTTGAAACTTAGGTAAGGCCCTGAAACTCTCACTAAGACCATCAGTGCCTTCACTGGATCTTCTGCAACAGCACCTAAACAAGTGCTTACATTTCACTGAAGGAAATGCAGCATAAGGATATGTTTAATGGTAAGCACAAAATCACATATATTTGAGGAAGGAATGAATTTACATATATGCTTAAGTGCTTTGTTGAAATAAGGCCAGCACAGTAAATGTCTGTAAAGATAACAGAATATAGGAGAAAATCCTCACCACACAGAAACTCAGGCAACATTCCTAAGCCAAACAAAGCTTTACTGCAGGATTTGATGGTAAAAACATAGAGCCATCCTTGGCAAACCTGAGTGAGCTTTATGTGTGTGTATCTCTTTTGGTGTCTTTGCTGTTTTAAGCTGCTAAATGCACATTGGTGTTCAGCTGAGTTGAAATTTAGAGTAGCATATTTTGAAGGACCTTAATAAAGATGTCTTACTCTTTTAAATAACCTTCACTTAACAATAATGTCAAATGCAACATTTTAAGAAACTCAGATATTTCAAAATT